ATACTTTATTCAATAATAATAGTTTTTGTTTAAATTTTGTCAAGAATTATTTTTTAGATTTATTTTCTTTAAGATAATTTGAGTGTCTATTATTCTTATTTAAAACATTTTTTAAGATTTCATAGCTTTGCAAATTTTTTTGAAAAAATATTTATTAAATTAGAATGATGTTTTTAATCTCTATTTATTCTATTTTATTAATTATTTTTAATTTAATTTTAAATTTTTTTAATTTTAAATTAAATTTAATAATGAATTTAAGTTTATTAAAAAAATATTAGTTTTACTAAATATATTTATTTTTTGTTTTGGTGAAATTAAAACATATAATTTATATAGTTTATTTTTTGTTTACATAGAAAACGATGTTTATTTATAAGTTAGAATGATGTTTATTTTAAAACCGAAAAAATTACAAATTGGGTGAAAAGAAATGAACTTGGGAACGAAGGTGCAAGAGGTTTCTCCACTCGACTGAGAGAGTAGCTCTGAATAGCTGTGGAAGAGACTTCATAAAGAGAGTTCCTCCAATCAGTGATTACGTAAACACCTTCAAACCAACGCACGGTTAGATTCATCATTTTTACATCTCTCTTTTTTCTTTTTCCCTAATTTGATTTTACGTAACTCCACACACACAACTTGTTTGATGAAATGCTTCATTGAACTCAATACAGTCAACGGTGTTTTATCCCGATCTTACGACCACGGGTTTGATACGGCGTCGATGCCGAGCAATGGTCAAAGTTGAATCTTGTGGAGAGTATCTCAGGGTAACGATTTTGTTCTTATTCTCTGCTTTAGAGTTCATACCGGGTTCCATAAATAACATATTGATCTATTAACGTTTAGTACTGTTTGTTTATCATCTTCAATAATAGTTAAGGTTGATTCAAACTTTCGTTCCATTTTCATCCTAGATTCAGCATGATTTCTGCTTGAATTATTGCTTACTGATTTACTGATGTAATTTACATTCTGTCATGCTGTAGAAGTTTCCGTATCATTTTGATTTAATGGTTGCAATCAATATTTGTGTGTTGTGTTTAATCGGTGACGTGTATGCGATTCGGTAAATGTGTTTTTGTGGTTGTATTTCTGTTTGCATATACCTCTTCAGTTTGATAGTTCATGTGAGGTGGAAGGTTTAGGTTTAGGTTTATAGTAGAGAGAGGTGTAGAGGTACTGTGTTAGATTCTAACATAACATCTTTTTCCCTAGAAGGTACTGTGTTAGATCTGAATGACACTCATGGAAAGAAAAATATAATATCAAAGATGTAACCAAAAACTTCAAATGTTGGGTACATCTATAACTGATAAAAGATCAATTGTGAGAGTATTATTGGATTACAAGCTAATTTTGGATTCTTGAAGTATACAAGGTAAGATGCCAATGGCTAGAGGCCACTGAAACCGTTGAAACCAACTTAAGAAACAATGAATAATGAGTCAAGAAATCAGCTCAATATGATATCTCATGGTTAAAGAATACACATGGTTATACATCCTTAGGATTAAATAAATGCTGCTAATGAATAATTAAATACCTATCAAAAGAATAGAAACATCACAAAGTTCCAAATAGCATGAAGCTTCAGCTCTTTATTTTCTTCTAAATTTCTATGGTAGTTTGGTTGGTGCAATGTTGAGGTTAAGTCCAATGTTCATTCCATTGTAAGCAATGGGAGCATACATCCAGTGATCATCAGAGCTAAGAAGCTGTTCATTTGAAATCAAAAGATAAACAAACATGAATTAGTCTTAATGTGGACTTTTTTCTGAAGAACTTTATATGGTTTGTGTTCTTTGTGAATTGTGACTGTAGAAGAAACTTCACTTGTTAATACACTATATTTATAGCTAACTAAAAAGTAAAAATAAAATATCTTTATCAAATTAAAAATTCTCAATTAATAATTGCCAATTATTAGCATTTGACTAATTGCTACAACACTTTATTCAATATGCACAAGTCAATGATGCATACGTCTTTATTAATTACCCTAATTCCGTAGAGAAAAATAATGTTTGGACATCAAAAATATTAATGTCAAACTCAATATATATATATATATATATTTTTATAAAAAATGTGTAGTGTAAAAAATTAAAGGTGGGAGAGAGACAAAGTAAATATATAGCCTATAGAACATCATATAGAGTGTTACATATTTTGATGTTTTAATATAATTGTTGTGAAGGTAAAATAAATATTTTGAGCATTTGAGCTTCTTGATAGTTTGTTATGATTTAATGTTTATGAATATTCATTGCCATAAAAATTACATGTTGCTGAATTTGTTGTATTTCTTATTAATTGAATTGAAGTCTTTACTTTGATGCACTCTAAATGTTTGATGAAATGTCTCAATGTGTTTTTGATATGTTTTTTGGAATTCCTTTATTGCACTCTAAATGTTTGATGAAATGTCTAGGTGTGTAGTTTTTACATAAATCCTTTATTGCACTATAAATGTTTGATGAAATGTTTCTATGTATTTTTAATACTAGTTGTATGATGATTTTTTTTTTGTATCTAGATTATTACAAATAGGTTGGTAATTGTGTGGATATTGTAACATGTTGTTGCTGTTCTGGTTTTCACTTGATTCATTGAGTAAATCAGATCGGATTTGCAGGAATTATAACAGTCTATAATTTGCTACTGCTGTTTTTATTTGGTTGTTATTGCTGGTATTCTGCTATTTCCATCAGGTGTTGTTTTGGTTTCATTGGTTAGGCTGTCTAGTCTTGTGTCGATTATATTGGTACACTGTTACATTGTAAATGCTGCTGAAAAACAATGTCGTTGAGGCTGTTATAGATTATGATAATCGGATCAAATTCGTGGGCGCGGCATCATCTATATTTGTATGCTATCAATTTATTGTTTTTTTCTTTCAATACATCAAAGTAACATTGTTGTTGCGTCGCGGTTCTGAGTTAGTTTCATTAGATGGGAATTGTTTTCTCTTGTTTAATATTTGTTGCATCAAAGTAACATCAAAGTCTGTGTTACCTGTAATAGACAATAATAATAATAATAAGACACAAGATCCAAGATGAATTAATTAAAGGAGTAGACCCAGTTATTGTTGTTGCAGCTGCAGTTGCAGGCAAGTTGGGTAATTTTATGGGATCCTTTAAAGAAAATGACAAAAGTTTTATTTGCCTGCGGTCCATATTCTATAAATTATGGAGTATCTTTACTCGTGTTTGATAGAGGTTAATACAATCAATTGTTATTCTTGCAGGTTGAAGTACAAATTTGAACTCATTTTCGGTGCCGAGCAAAGCTATTGATTTTGAAATTTCAAGGTAGGTACTACTTTATGACTTCTTGTATATATAGTTCATATCTACATTATATGTCAAAATTATGATGGATAATACAAGGAAGAAAACAAAATATTAATTGTCATGAATCATATGAAACTGTCATTCTGTAGCTTAGGGATGTAGCTTTGATGGTCTTGAATTCTTTCATATTGATGAAAGAAGCTTTGGTTATGTTGTTACCTGACAGTAAAACCTGTTTCAAAATCCTATTCTTAGAGCTTCAGAGAGAAGGTTTGAGACAATTATGTCTAGTTTGGTATGAGATGAGTGCTTGGAGATTTATTTAACTCTTTCCTCATTTTATTCCATGCTATTTCAGCTGCATGAGAATAAGAATATAGTTGAGAATATTCTAAGAGGCCTAAAACTGGACTGCATTTGACAGGGGAAAAATCAATCATTAAGAAGAGTCTCACATAAGTCAACATCAAAATACAACAATTTTTTAAAATATATTTCATATTATCATGACTCATGGCTGCTTTCATCATGTTTAAAGCAGCTTTAGAGCATGTTTAAAGCTAGTATTCAACTACTGTCCTCTTGATATTCTTGATGCATTCATCTTTAGAGACAAATTTTTGTTTATTTTGTTTAGAGAAAAACAGAAGATTTTATCATGTTTTGCTCTGCTTTTGCTCTGTTTTGGAGTGCTTACTGTTTTTATTTCAAGGTAAGTCATTGATTCAGTGTGATTTCGACTAATTCGCTGAGATACCGAATGATCATATAAGCATGTAGTAAAAAGGTAAGAGCAACTCATTTTATGACATATAATGAAATTGACATCATCCACTAGCTATGTTTTTGTAAGTATTTATTTAACCTTAGTTTTGAGTTTAATATTAGTAATATTTATTTATAAGTACATTTTATGTGGAATCTGGATTCTGGTTCATTATATTTATTTATTTTTGTAAATATTTATTTAATTATTTGCTGAAATGACTGAACATTGCCTTATATTTTGCATTGATGGAAGTTGTTATTGTTGAAATTTGGTTCTGATTTCCAATCTTGGTATATTTATTAATCTAATTTTTGTTTTTGTTTTTTTCAGCCTGGTCACTTTTAACAGTAACAAATCAAGATATTCAAATTGGTATATCTTGCAAGATGAAGTCACTTAAAAAGTCCAAGAAGAAGAATTATGGAAAAGGTTATATATCTACTCAACATGAAGTCATCCAACCCCAACCTCTTCCTCATCTTATTCAACCCCAACTTACTCAACCTCAACTCACTCAATCTAAACCCCAACCTATTCCTCATCTCATTCAACCTCAAATCCAACCTATTCCTCATCTCACTCAATATCATACTCAACCTCAACCCCAACCTATTCCACATTCAAGTAGGCCTCAACTCACTCAACTCCGACCACAACCACAACCTATTCCACATCCAATTCGACCTCAACTCACTCGACCACCATCTAGATCTATATCCCAATCGCATTATTCTCAACCTCAACCTCAAAATCAACCTCGTCCTCAATCCACCCAATCTCACCCTTTACAAACTCAACCCCAACACAATCAACCTCAGCCTCAACCTAATCAACCTCAATCTCAAAATCAACCTCAATCTCGACCCATTCCTTCTCAACCCAATCAACCTCAATCACAACATCGATCTCGACCCATCCCTTCTCAATTTATGGTCGTTGAAGCCCCATCTTCATCTAGCCATGCTAGTGGAGACACCGTTGGAACTAGAATCCCAATAGTTCCCGAAGGTGATGGGTGAGTCTCTTACTCGTATATAATAGCTAATAAAAGATACTATATTTTATATGTAACATTAATTTCTCCATTTAAGTAATATTTGTTTTTTTTTAAATGTCTCTTTTTCAGATTTGATCATCATAAATTGGTAGTTTCAGAAATTGCTCACATCATACGTACTCATTTGAATGAGGGAAAACCGTCATGGAAGAAATTATCAAAAGAGCAGCGAGATTCTTTCTTTGATCTATTTAAGGTAATTAAATCTAAAGATGGGGCTTCATGTTAGAAGCATATTGAAATATTAAGTAATTGATTCATGTTTTTTTGATACAGCAAAAGTTTACATGGCCACCCGAGCACAAGGTTACAGTGCGTCGCAACTTTGAAAAAAGAAGTGCAGCTAAGATGTCTCAATTAATGCAAGATGTTCAGAGAGATTTAGAGTATAGGCCGGAATGGATGGGAGAGGAGGTGTGGAAGAAACTAACGGTACATTGGAATTCCTCCAAGTTCAAAAAAGTATCTGCAACAAATAAAAGAAATCGTTGTTCTATGGATGGTGCATCTCTTCACACTGGAGGATCTATTCCTCATCGTTTGCATTGGAAAAGAATGGTATTATAATTTTTCTTTATATTTCATAAATTAGTATTTATAATAAATGACATTATTATTTTGTAATTGATAGAAAAAGGAAAAGGGTGTCGATCCATCATTGACTGAATTTTATTTTCGCACTCATCGAAAAAAGGATCAAAGTTGGGTGGGTGTTCACGCTGAATCTGCATATGTAAGTACTCCAAATCAATTTCTTAAAGAATGAATCTTAGAAAGTGTAAACCATACCTTCATTTTTTTCCTCTGTGTTTTGCAATTTACAATCAAATCAAATAAAAATATGTTGGGAAATTGGTTAGAGTTAATGTTAACAACGAGCAATTATGAGTTTCTCCAGTTAATGTTATGTGAATGAATTGCTAGTTCATTAAGTTAAATTTTTATTATGACGATTAACACTAATTTGAAATTGCCTGGTAAAATATTAATTACTTATTATGTTTTTTTAAATCTTCTTTCAGGAGGAATTTGAAAGGAAAAAGTTGATGATTTCTTCTGAAAATTCAACTGTTCCAGGAGAGGATGAAGTTGATAGTCAACCTACTGTTGAAATGCCGTCTGATTTGGATATATGGGTGGAGTCATTTGGAAAGAAGAAAGGGAGGGTATTCGGTCTTGGAACCATTGCCAAGACTCTTGTTCCATCATCAACTCAACCAAGTCTTTCGAGTAACTCTCAAGAGGTTGATGATTTGAGAAGTCAAGTCCATGCTCTTAATGCATCATTACAAAGACAAGAACAAGAGAAGTTGGAGATGAAGCAACAATTGCAACGACAAGAAAAAGAGATGATTGAAACGAACAATAAACTTTCATTGTTAATGAATCATTTAGGATTTGCTGCATCTTCTTCTCATCCACCTCAAGCCAATAATGAAATTGATAATCAAAGTGAAGATGATGTTGATGAATCAGATGAAGACATTAGTGAACATATTAGTAGTGAATTTTGATTTGGATTACTTTTTCTTGTTAATTAGTTTGAAATTGCATTTTTTTTTCTTATTAATTTGGTTGGACAAGTGATACTTAGTAACTTGATTACGACATATTTAGTAATGTAACTCTAGAAGTACTTGTTATTGACTTTAAAAATTTGAATGTAATTAGTGTTGCATTGACTTATTCAAATTAGATTTTTATTTTTATATTATTGTTACTTTGATATTTAACATTAATTATACTATTTTAAATATGAATTAAACACAACTAAAAATAAAAACTAAAAACGATAGGGAACTTACCTGCGAACTTACCTGCGGATTCTCAACTTGTTGCGACTTTACCTGCGAATTTAGCTGTTATACCTGCGACCTGTTGCTGCGACTTATTACTGCGACTTTTTCCTGCGACTTTTTCCTGCGACTTTTACCTGCGACTTTTTCCTGCGACTTTTTCCTGCGACATTACCTGCTAAATGAATTATCCACGAAGGTTTTAGCTGGAAACAGAAAATCGCAGGAAAAATCGCAGGAAAAATCGCAGGAAACGTGTTTCCTGCGAAAGTTTGGTCATAATCCGCAGGTAAATCCGCAGGAAAACTGAACATTTCTAGTAGTGTATATATATATCACATATAATGAAAATATTCAATATTATATAACACAAAACATATGTAAAAACACTTAATGTTGACTTAATAATTTACCTAAAAATTTATGAAAATTATATGATGGACTGTCGATCAGATTTAAAATTTAAAATTAACTATTTTTAAACCACTTATATAATTGAAAGAATAACATTTTCTTTATTAAATGATTGTGCAAAATTTGTTTACTGATCATCATCAAATCCAAAATAATTATATATATATATATATATATATATATATATATATATATATATATATATATATATATATATATATATATATATATATATATATATATATATATATATATATATATATATATATATATATATATATATATATATATATATATATATATATATATATATATATATATATATATATATATATATATATATATATATATATATATATATATATATATATATATATATATATATATATATATATATATATATATATATATATATATATATATATATATATATATATATATATATACACTAAAACATTACATAATAATTAAAATAATAAACTCTCGAGTATTAACATTTTAAATCCATTTTTATTTTATTTTATCTCTTTATTCGAATTTTCTCATCTAGCCATAGAAAAATTTCATAAATTTTAAAAAGTGAAAAATAAAAAGAGATTAATTAATATATACGATTGGTGTAAAAAAAATTTATATTGTCAATGCACCACTATTATTCATTTATATTACTTTATAAATGATTAAAATAAAAGTTAAACTATTTCCAACATCCTGCTTGAGCAATCACAAGTTCAAATGGTGAATTAATGGATAAATTAGATTAATTGGAGAAGATAAACTGAAGAAATTATATATATATATATATATATATATATATATATATATATATATATATATATATATATATATATATATATATATATATATATATATATATATATATATATATATATATATATATATATATATATATATATATATATATATATATATATATATATATATATATATATATATATATATATATATATATATATATATATATATATATATATATATATATATATATATATATATATATATATATATATATATTGTATATCTAGTGAGAATGAATAAGTTATATGAGAATGTGAAAATGAGTAAGAACTATTAGATTTAAAAAGAAAAGATTGAGATTAAAAGATATTTTTAATTATTTCTCTTTCCTCTTAACGACACATGATTTAGTGAAAACCACAATTTATTCTTAATCATTACTTTTTAAATCTAATAGTTCTTATTCATTCTCACATTCTTATATAACTTACTCATTTTCACTAGATATGCACCCATATATAGGGCATATTTAGTGAGAATATGTAAGTTATTTGATAATGTGAGAACGAATAAGAACCATCAGATTTAAAAAGGAAAGGTTGAGATTAAATCGTAGTTTTCACTAAATTATGCGTCATTGAAAGGAAAGAGAAATCATTAAAAATACCTTTCAATATGAACCTTTCCTTTTTAAATCTGATAATTCTTATTCATTCTCACATTTTCATATAACTTACACATTCTAACTAGATATGCCATATATATATATATATATATATATATATATATATATATATATATATATATATATATATATATATATATATATATATATATATATATATATATATATATATATATATATATATATATATATATATATATATATATATATATATATATATATATATATATATATATATATATATATATATGAGAGAGAGAGAGAGAGAGTAATTGAGAGTGAGAATTAAAATTGACATTAATCCCGAATAGGAGCACTGAAGGCTATTTATACAATACGTACAAAATTGGAAAAATACAAAACAACTTAAAAAAAGCTAATTACACATAAAACACCCAGTGTCACCGATTACCATAAAACTCGCTAGCCACTATTTCTAGTGTAAAAAGTATGTAACCAGTTACCACATATCCAATAACCGGTTACCACAACTGAAATGTCCAAAAATTTGTTTTCAACACACCACCTCATTTCGGTTGTTTCAATTCCAGCATGCTCAAGCTCATCTTCAACCTCTTGAACACCTCATTGGTTGCTCCCTTAGTCAACAAATCTGTCACTTGATCTTCGCTTCGACAATATCCCAATCTTAGCTTGCCTTCACTCACTAGTTCCCTCAAATAATGAAATTGCATCTCTATGTGCTTGCTTCTTCCGTGTGCAATCAGATTCTTCATAAGGTTTATTGCATAAACATTATGAACAAGAAGTGTAGTAGTCTCACCCTCATTACTACCCAACTCCTTCAATAGATTCATGAGTCACATAGCTTGACACACACATAATGATGCCGCAATATACTCGGCCTCATAAGACGAGAGTTCTACCACTGGTTCCTTCTTCGAACACCAAGAGATTGGTGTCATATCAAACATAAAAATGTATTCAATCGTTGACTTTCAATCATCCTTATCACCACACTAATTGGAATCAGTGAAACCAAGTAAATTGCATTTTCAGCCTATATCCGATGCAGGAAAGAGAATTCTGCAACCAAGAGTTCCTTTAACATATCTAAGGATTCTCTTGACCACTGCCAAGTGAGACACCTTCGATCTCTCCATGAATCTACTAGAAATGTCGACATTAAATGCCAAGTCTGACCGCGTATTGCACAAATACCACAATGATCCAATCAATCTCATATATTGTGTTGGTTCCACATCTTACTTCACATGGTGTAATGGCTGCATTACAATGTTCCATTTCACACCTCTTCAAGATCTCAAGAGCATATCTCCTTTGGTGCATGAGCAATCCCGTTTTGACTTGTGGAACTCTATGCCAAGAAAATATGTCATGATACAAAGGTCCTTCATCTCAAATTCATCCATAAGTTCACTCTTGAACTTAGAGATACTCTTCTCATAGCTCCCGGTAATCAATAGATCACCAACATACAAGCAAAGAATGATCACACCATCATTCGCATTCGTCTTCACAAACACTCTATGTTCGGACACGCACCGCTTGAAACGAATATCAATTAAAAAGTCATCAATGTGTTTGTTCCAAGCTCTTGGAACTTGTTTCAAACCATATAATGTTTTATTCAATTTGTAGAGTTTCACCTTTTGATTCTTTACTACAAATCCTTAGGGCTGCTCAACATAAACCTCCTCATCAAGTGGACTATTCAAAAATGCATATTTGACGTCCATTTGATATATTGCCCAATATTTGTTATTCGCAATGCCAACAACTAATCAGATGGTTTCTAGTCTATCCAAAGGTGCAAACACCTCCTCAAAGTATATACCTTAACATTGCAAGAATCCTTTTACTACCAATCGAGTCGTATGCTTGATCACCTCGCCTTTGGGATTTGACTTCACTTTATAGAGCCATTCGAAACCAATTGTCTTCGTTCCAAACGATAAATCAACCAATTCCCCACTACTATTTTTTCAATAGATTTCATCTCCTCCTTCATTGCACAAATCCACTTTGGATCGCTTAGAGCCTCTTCCGTGTTCACCGGTTTGGGTTCGTCCATAAGCGCAAAGTCGACGAAATCACCACCATCATTGATTTTTTTGCTCAGAATCTCTCACATTCTTGGAGTCTTTGAGGTAACACCCTCTTCCCTCTTGGAGTCTTTCAGACCACAATCGGTGACTGCACGACTGTTTCGATACTTTCAGGATAAAAAAAAATAAAGCTGTTGGATTTTTGTTTTTCCTGCATGTAACTGGTTACACCAGAATGAACTGGCCGAGTGTAAATGGTTACACCTAGGCTTGCATGTATAATTTCTTCAAAAATAACATCACGGCTGATCACTATTCTTCGATTTTGTGTATCAAACAACTTGTATCCACCAGTAGAGTGATATCACACCAATATTATCTCCTCACCCTTGTCGTCCAACTTCTTTCTAAGTTGACTCGGCACATGTTGATACGCCACTGAACCGAAAACTATCAAATGGCTTAGATTCGATTTGAATCTGGACCATACGTCTTTCGGCGTTAGCTTCTTAGTAGGGCACTTATCCAACAAATAGGTGGTTGTAGAGACCGCTTCTCCCCATAGCTCCTTCGACAAAATCTTTCCACTTAACATGCTATGAACCATGTTCATAATCTATTGATTATTTCTCTCGGCAGCACCACTTTATTGTGGTGTGTAGGGTGACACTACCTCATGCATTATCCCCTTTTGGTCACAAAACTTTCCAAATTGTTCGAGACGTATTCACCTCCACCGTCTGTTTTAAGCACTTTGAGTTTTTGACCGCATTGTCACTCCACCATGGACTTAAATGTCTTGAACACATCAAGCACCTCATCCTTCCTTC